CGTTTTACTAGATTTTGAAGATTTGTCTGGGGGATACTTTTATTCCAGGGGTAGTTTTATTTGAGAGGTTAGATTATGTTAAGCCCATAATATATATTGAAGTGTTCATTTAAGATTTTCATAAATATTTTAGCATTTTATGATACATTGTTGTAGTCATGCATTTTGTTTGTGTTTCACCCAGAACCATTCCATGGTGTAAATTTTGGAGTCATTACAAGTCAAGAGGTGGCAGGACTGATAAAGGTCACAGAGCCACACACTGTTGTGATGACCAGAACACTCAACGAGACACTGGTGAGATTCAATACTGCTGAGAAAGAGCCTCATAAGTAGTGGTGCATACCGGTTCACTGGACTTGGATCTGGACTTGTAAGAATGTTTAGGTTCAAGTCCAAAAAAAACCTAAAAGTCAAGAACCGAGTCCAGACTTATTACCATAAAAGACTCTTTCACATACCCCTTTTCCTTCCAAACCACCTAAAACCTTCCGTAGATTGTAAAATCTTTGCTGCAAAATGAAGAAAACATTGCCATCGGGCATTGTCAAGTGTCAGCCTCCATGTTATGTTGCTAAAGTTTCACCCAGACAACATTGCAAGGTTGCCAACATGCAATTTTGTACATGTATATGCCATGGGTTTAGGTCCAGACTTACAAGTCCGGAACTGAACCTAAACCTCTGGACTTGAATCTGGACCTGAACCTAAAATTGGGTTTAGGTATGCATCACTACTCATAAGTATCTATATTGTAGATATGATAGACACATACTGCTGTTACAGTCCTGTAACAATTGAACTGATAGACTTTCTTCATTGCAAACAACAAAGTAAGTTGAAGAAGCGTGGTGTGATATGTTTGCATTATACATTATTTACATGAATACAAACAATTTGAATGACAGAATATTGTACCATAAACTTAAACATAATCATTCTGTATATTGAAGCTTTAGTGTAAAGATTAGTGATGACCTCTACATATGTTTAATATGGCACCTTGCTTCCCTTAAATGTGACACTGCTTTAAAAAGCATTTTAATTTGTAGTCATGTTAGCCTGGTTGCCATCTGATCTGTAATGGCAAACCCGGGAAAAATCGGAGTCGCCGTTATAAATCGGACATTACTCTGGCTATAGTCATGTCACTTGAAAATATACCTTTTTTTCTCCATATGATAGGTATATCCTCAAACCAGGAACTTCTCCCATCAAGACATTCTGGCATGGGTGGAAGAAAACAGAGTACAGGTAGACAACTCTCTATTCTACAGTTAGGCCACACCAAGTAAATTTTATGGATGACGTCCTTTGGAGACCCTAAATCTAATGCGAGAGGGCGAAAAAAACCAAGAAGGGCCCTAAAAAACAAGATGCCTAGATTAGAAATATAATAAGAGATGACAAATGTTAGGACACTAATGAGGTGACACAGATTAACAAGCAAGAAGTCTTTTATTCATCATCAAAACATCAATAAATCAGGTGGAACAGTGGACAGTGAAAAATGTTCTGTTATTAACAGGATGGTCCTGTCAATAGTGCAAATTTTCTGTTATTGACAGGATGGTCCTGTCAATAGACACTTTCTTCGCGTTACGGGTTTCACATCAATCTGGTGATTTGCGGCACTGTTGTGACTCTTTGGTCATAGTTACAGGAAGCGGAATTTCTTGTTTTTTTTCTAGGAACAGGCCAAAATCAATGCGCGCGCTGACATCATCCATAAAATTTACTTGGTGTGGCCTTATCATCATCTATTGGTCTCAGATTTACAACATTTATGACAAACTGTAGGGCTTAAAACTTGCAAGCATGTTTTACTAGTTTCCCTGTAGATTTCCGGGTTCCCATCATTGTCCAAATGCAATGTTACAGACTGTGCAGTGGCTCCCCCTAGCAGGAGTGAAGAGCCTGCAGCTGTCCACAGAATTGCAGGCAGGGCCGTCACTCTTGTACTTCACCCCCGACAACCCTGATGTGGACTCTCCCGCGGCTACTATGGTAACAAACCACACCTTTTTACTTACAGCATTTTAGCAGTTTTTTTCTTCAACTATGATTTATGTTTCATCAGAAACTGGGTATTTTATTAACATATTGTAAGTGATACATTTTGTATTTCAAAGGAAAATGAAAAGATTTTTTTTCCTCCCTAGTTTCGAGAAGTCGCCATGGACTATTTCAACTGTAACGACCAACAACTTGTTCGTGACTTTGTGAATATAAGCAGGGAATATCGCAAAATGACGTACGGATCCGAGGAACCAACTGAAAAACAGGGCAGCTCTGAAAACTCAAAGATGGACGACCAAGCAACTCCGTCCTCCAAAAGTCAGAAAAGTGCTCAAAGCTTGAATTCTGTTGAAGATTATTTGCAAACTCAGGGTAAAGACTTACTCGTAGATAGAAACATAGATAGCACAAAACACAGTGATGCAGCATTGCAAAGAAAGTGTGAAAATACAGACACCTATGATAGTGTAGCAAAGAATATAAAAAATTCTCAACCAGAGTGCAACACAGTATGTACGAATGAAAAAAGCTGCCTGTATTCCAAAGAATCAAATCTTAGACATTCCGCAAGTGGAAACACAGTGCAATCTGCAAGTGACGAGGCAGTGGACATTGAGGGAAAAGACGTGAATATCACAGGGCTTGGATGCAGGACTAACAAAAGCCTGGGGTTTTACCTGTTGGACTCTACTTCCCAGTGGAGCTTTGCAGAAAATATGGGAGTGAAGGAAGGAAATGGAGAAACAGAGAGTATTGTCATAGTGGACGTCAGGGTGAGTATGATTTCTTTTGATAATCATTTTAATACCTGGTTCTACTACAATTGTGTGATGAAATGAATGTGTTTTCTATTAAATCAAAAATAATTGAGAAAAGTTGGTCTCTAGGTATGTGTCTTTGTGCATGTCTTTAACTGGTAGTATCTTCTTTTACTTTTAGAATGAAGTCCAGTTTGTTATGGATCCAAGTCTGACCATCAATGAGACCAACATAGGTATGACCATCTCTGCATTTTAAAAATTATATCTCAAGGCAAGATGCTTTTATATGTTGTATAATTTATTATACATCACTTCAATGCCAAGTTTTAGAACAGCCTATAGGCAATCTCTGCAAATGTTAGTTTTTAGCTGCATGTAGGGGAAAACTTTGTACCTTACAATCAAATGATTCCACAATCATGATTCTTTATTATGGCCAACTATGCATTCTAAAGCTTGCAAAAGAAAGTACACTGTATGATGTGATTTCATTTGATTCCACAGCTGCTTTTATCCACAACTTTACAAGAAGCCAGCTGAGTAGACACCTGAGTACGGCACCTCCCCCTGTCAGCACATGTCTTCCCAACGCCACCCAGCCCTGTGTGATGGAAGTCACTGGGGAAACATTCCATGATGTTGTGCTAGATGAGGCAAAGGTATGTCAGACTTGGTGTAGACAGATTTAATCCTCTTCACGTATTTTGGATACATTTTCTGGTACAAAATGAAACAATAAAGCAACCATTATTCATTTTGTATGAATGGTTGCCCATCATCTTTGTGTACTAGTATCTAATAGTATAGGACTGCTCTATATTTTCAGTTTTGATATGATACATTTAACTATCCCACTTCTGACACCATGTTTCAGGATGTTTTGCTGCTGTATTATGCCCCGTGGTGTGGAGCATGTTCTGCCCTGGCACACATATGGCTGGTGTTAGCTTCCTACTTCAAGAGGGCCTCCAACCTAGTTCTTGCAAGGTAAAATACCATAGCATCTGAAATATGCTTTTTCTGTTGAATCTACAACAAGACAATGATTTAGTCTTTGCAAAGAAAAACACACAATGTTAAGAGAGGCAAATATATTTATGAATGCATGACAAGTATTTTCGACATACACTTCTATCATATCCATTGAAGCAATGTTCCTATTTTTACTCCAATAGAATTAATGGTGACAAGAATGATCTTCCGTGGGAGTTCACAGTACCTGCATATCCCACAATCCTCTTCTTCCCTGCATTCAGGTCAGTTTCCATCAATGATGTCTGTCAATTGTGTCAGTAGCATAGCCTGATTTCTTGTTTCAGTGCCTGATTCTGTATTATCTAGATGTCTTCCAGGAATAATTTATACATTATATGTACAGGAAGGACATGAGTGTGAAGTATCCTGACAACCTACCGATGACCTTGCCCAACCTTGCCGAGTTTGTCCTTGCACATGCCAGGAGGAGGAACAGGCCAAGGTCAAAACCCACTGGCCACAAGGTCACGGCAGATTGCCAGGAAGAAACTCACAGAGACCATTTACAGATACAGAGCCTTGAAAGAGAACTCACCAGTATGAAAGACGAGATAGAAGCCTTACGAACTCAAGCGCAGAAGTTACAAGAAGCTCTACGCATCGTAAAGGTAGCAAATGTTCGACTGAACGCCGAAAACAGGGAGAAAGATCTCAGGATAGAAGCTTTAAGGAAGTCAGAAGTAAAACTGAAACAAGCATTGAAAGAGAAAGAAGTAAGATTGCTGCAAGCAGATGTTTTTATGAAAGCCCTACAAGAGGGTAGCGTTAAGGCAACCGCAGAGAACGTTCTGTTAAAAATGCAGGTGAGTGCCTTGCAACAAGCTGTGGACGGCATTTACAATGTCATGGATGCAGACAAGAAACAAAATCCAACAGAGAGAAAAGACCCAAGACATTCTGTTGATGCCGCCGGCCTCCCACTCCAGAAAGTCCAAAAGACAGCCCAAGAGAACAGACTTCACAAGAAATGCTGCAGAAAGATCCTTTAAAAAGTGCTTCTCAGGTGAGAAAGGTTGCCCAGCCTGTGAGGGAAGAAGGAAGGCACACAGGAGGAAAGTCACAGTACGCAGGGTCAAAGAAGAGAGGGCAGTGAGAGAGTTGGCTGTTGTACCGACAGCGAAGATCCAACACACACAGGTCCTCCACACACATGAGAACAACCGAGAAGATTATACCTGAGCAAATGCTGCTATCACTTCTTACATTGTCCATGTTAGCCCACAATTCTGTTTTGTCCTTTGCAAAGTGTTTCATTAGAACATAACATGTATACAGCCTTCCCAAAGGGCAATAATCCTGTGGGTAGCAAACCAAAGATAAAAAAAGACTGTGTAGCAGTGCGGGGTTTATAGGCGCTACCAACTGATCTGGCAAACGGGTCTAGACCTTTTCGGCCAAGCGGTTAGAGCGTCTGGTTATGAAGCTCTGGTGCCCGGTAGGTCGTGGGTTCGAACCCCGTCCCGGGACCAGAAGGGTTTTTACTGGCTCCTCCTGTTTCTTACAACTGGCTTCCAGACTACTATTAGTCATTCTCCCACAGCAGAGCTATCCCGCGGCAAATACGTTAGTTAGCCTTCGGGTTAATAAAATAGTGCTAGTAAGGAAGCAACCCTGTCTCGGGAGGATGCTATTAGTGCTCAGTGCACAGACATACATGTCATTCTATACAGGGCAATATTTGTCATGTAGTGGAAAGTCCGAGTGCGCTCTATAGGAAAGCAGTGAACTTTATTCTAAGGCCACACCAATTTAATTTCTTGGTTAACGGATTTTTCTAGAAAAATAATGGAGTGGGCGGGCGAAAAAAAAATAAAAACAGGCCTAGGCATCCTATTATGGCCCAAAATGGCTCACAGATAGGAGCCATGAAGTCAACACACCAGGCTGGTTGAAAATTTAAACAATGAATTTTGAACTTTTAATAATACCATTGCATTGAAAGATGGAATAACTGTAACAACTAGGATGAAAAGGACTGTTTTCAACTGCTCATGGCAATATATGAGCATTTTGCAGTTGATTCTGAATTTTTATTTTTATTTGCAAATCAGAAAAAAATGAAGTGGGCAAATCCGTTAACCAAGAAATTAAATTGGTGTGGCCTAAACACACAATATTTACACTGAGATCAAAGTGTTCTACTACCGGCAGCCTAGCTGATGTTACCATGTCACGCAGATATTTTCTACCACATGCTATCCCTAATAATTTGCTCAGTGTTTGTGATGTCTGTGATTTCACTCAACAGGATAGAATCTCAAAGAGACTGGATGAACAGTACATGCTTGTGTGTAGTTAAAAACTTAAATACATTTGAAGTGCAATCTTAGTCAAAAGATGTTATTATTTGATGACAGTGTTGAAATTGAAATGTTGACAATGTGTATCATACATTCTTCTGTTTTATCAAAATAAAATAAAAAAAATTTTCTGATGCACAAGATGTATAATATCACCAATCAACAGAGTTTGTAGAAAAGCACTTTAGTTTGGTGAAGTTTGAGCTAATCTCCAAGCAGATCATACGGTGGCAAGGCAGTATCCATTGGCCAGAGGAGTGTCCATTAGCCACCGAAGATCTGCCTGCAGTCGAAACGTCAAAGGCTATTAACACCTAGTTGTTGCCTACTCAGAATGTGTTTGCCAAGTAGTTTATTGCCCTAACCACCGGGCAAGGCTATTGTCCTCCTTGTGGGGCTGCATGGTTGACCGTTACAGGAAGTCTGTCTATGGGTCACAACACCAACTGTTATACATGTATTGGGCAGTTTAAACAATGGATCCGGAGGAGAAGGTTCACCTTGTGTTTTGTAATGTCTGGCATGGGGTTTTAAATTTTAACCATAAGTATCCATTTTCATGTTTCAGAAAGCATCACAGTGCCAGCATACAGAATTGTATCTGATTCAGGGGGGGAACTCCCACTGAGATGTGCGCGGGTGACTGAATTTGTCCCAGATTCAAGCTATAAACCGCTTGTAAAAACCTTAGCGTGGCCAGTTTTTCAATTGCTGTTAATAGGGGCACAAGGAGGGGCAGCAACACCATTTTTGAAAGGAAGTGCTCCTCCCTGTGCGAGTGCAGGCAGATCTTCGGTGGCTAATGGACACTCCTCTGGCCAATGGATACTGCCTTGCCACCGTATGATCTGCTTGGAGATCAGTTTGAGCACCATTTTTGAAGCAAATGTTGGCATAAATGTTTATGACACAATGTAAGAAGTTGTACATAAGTTACAAAAGTCAGATAGCCTCATACACTACTTGAGACCTTTGATAATTCAAAGAACCAAAAATTACTGGTCAAATTGTTGCCATTGCTGCACTTTTAAAGGAAACATGACAAGACTATATCAGTATATGCCTGGTGCTGACAGTCAGCCATTTGGGACACGTGTTGTGGAATGTGTATTGCAAAGGATGATGGGATAGTATCATCTCCCCCCCTGGTCTCCCACATCGCGGCTAAACCCCTCCCACCCCTTGTCTCAGGTATACTGGAAATGATCTCCAAGCAGATCATACGGTGGCAAGGCAGTATCCATTGGCCAGAGGAGTGTCCATTAGCCACCGAAGATCTGCCTGCACTCGCACAGGGAGGAGCACTTCCTTTCAAAAATGGTGTTGCTGCCCCTCCTTGTGCCCCTATTAACAGCAATTGAAAAACTGGCCACGCTAAGGTTTTTACAAGCGGTTTATAGCTTGAATCTGGGACAAATTCAGTCACCCGCGCACATCTCAGTGGGAGTTCCCCCCCTGAATCAGATACAATTCTGTATGCTGGCACTGTGATGCTTTCTGAAACATGAAAATGGATACTTATGGTTAAAATCTAAAACCCCATGCCAGACATTACAAAACACAAGGTGAACCTTCTCCTCCGGATCCATTGTTTAAACTGCCCAATACATGTATAACAGTTGGTGTTGTGACCCATAGACAGACTTCCTGTAACGGTCAACCATGCAGCCCCACAAGGAGGACAATAGCCTTGCCCGGTGGTTAGGGCAATAAACTACTTGGCAAACACATTCTGAGTAGGCAACAACTAGGTGTTAATAGCCTTTGACGTTTCGACTGCAGGCAGATCTTCGGTGGCTAATGGACACTCCTCTGGCCAATGGATACTGCCTTGCCACCGTATGATCTGCTTGGAGATTATACTGGAAACACCCGTAGTATTGTCGGAGTCATGTATTTGGCAGTTATCATGTATATGGTTTGACACCGTCTCCTGGGAGTCGTCTGTTGACCGCTGCCCGCCCCAGATGTTGTGGTTGGGCGGTGATAATGAAGACTGGGGTCCGGGGACCTGACACCATTGACTCGTGACATTTCAACGACATTTGCCTGGAGAGCTGTTATCACCGGGTGCTCAGGTGCAGTACGTGTGCCGCGGCCATGGATTCCCCATAAACATTTTGTGAAGGGATAGCGAGAGGGTTGATAAGATTTTATCAGGATAATCTCTATAAAGATTTGGTTTTACGTCAATCTTGATTGCTGTTTGGATTAATCTCCAAGCAGATCCCTCTCGGTGGCAAAAAGACAGTATCAAATTGGCCAGGCAGTATCCATTGGCCAGAGAAGATCCGCGGCGACCGACGGTGGGGATCAGGTCAAAACAAAAACGGCCATATATAAAAAGGTAACGATTATTCCCCCACAACCTCTGCTTGGAGAGTAGTTTGGATTTCAAAAGCGACGTGTTGCTTGAAAGTGCACTCTGCAATTTCGGGTCTATTTACTAGTAGTATGTGGGTTTATCCATATAAATGAATGAATGAAGACCTTTATTGTACGCAAATACCCACTGGGTTCAGTACAGGTCACAGGAAAGACGTCACAGTTTGCAATGAATATATACACTGTACAAGCTAGCACATAGTAAATCATTGTAAGATACAGATGTATCAAAATGTTTTGTCCAAAATCATCCAGCTTAGCATTAGTTTAATAATGCTTCCTAAGACATTTGTAGTATGTTTTTCCAGGACAAACTTTATACTTTTTTTACTATATTAGGATATACACACATTATTGTCTAAGACTGTGTTATTAACTGCCTTACCATACTCTAATTGACGTACAACTTCAATACTTAGCTTCTTGTAACCTGCCTAGTTTCTTTAGATGATGTGTTGTTGGGATTTGTAACGTTTTTTTATGACATTCGATTGTTTCCCACTCACCTGTTTGTTGAGGGTATTAAGCAAGTGCAATGGCCCGTACAGGCAGCTTATTTGTAAGAGATATAGAACTGTTGTCCCTCATCCAATACCAGATTCGGGCCAGAGAGCCCATACAAAATAGATGAACCATAAAAAATTGAGAGGTTTTCTTTCAAAATGCAGGGCAAACTGAGTTCAACACCTCACACGATAAAAATTCAATATCGCACCATTTGATTGCCGATCAATGTTTATTTGATGTCAACCCAGTTTTGGTTTGGAGCTTAACGACATCCGCTATGGGATTGTCTTTTAACTCCATGGTCTAACTTGAGCCTTTATATATTTTAATCTCAAGATAGGACGTAGGATACCTCGCACTCAGGTGATTTTGTACCTTTTAAAACCTGTCCAGCTTTAAGGCCGGTGCTTAATTACACATTGAATAGACACAAGATGAAATGAAGAGATACAAGATGATCATGCCGAGTTCATTGACCTCGGATTTGTAACTGACAGAAGCGCTTGCATAAAATCTGACCACAACGACTTCCGTAAGAGATTAAGACCATATTTCTGTGAACCATCTCTGTCAACCTTACTCAAACCAGCATACTTATCCCATACGTCGATGAAGGTTAGACATCCAGGTAATACGATACGCCAAGAAATGTTTCCAAAATCATATCCAGTTGCTTGAGTAACTGCTTTTTGGTCCCATAGCAGACCTGGCAGCACAATTAGAGCTTGACCTGATTATTTCTTCATAAAAAAATGACGATATTGTGCAATGATTGCAAGAAATCGATTTTTGTCTCTCACTCCAGAAAGAAGGCGCAGTTAACATCCAGTCTACTTGCGATAACTTAGGAATTCAGCAGTTCAAGATGTGATGGCAATTGGTAACTTTAGTTTCCTTTTGAAATACTTGTTGAGACCATGGTTAGACATATGCACAATATTCGATTGATTTGTACAATGGCCCCCTTTCCATAACCCAATGTTGTAAATCATCGACTTATTACAATATATGCATATAATGAGAAAAAGAGCCAGAGAAACAAATGAGCCAGACAACTTAATGCTGGGAGGCCGAAATGTAGAGAGTAGCAGGGTATTCAGTTTATGTTTAAGAAGCTTGCGATAGTTTCAAACGTAGAATTACAATTGAACAGTATGTAAGATGTACGTGTGTCTGTGCTGGATATCTGAGGTAGAGGGCTGGATTGTCA